CAAAATAAAATAAAGTTAAATAAATAATTTTTAAAAATAAAAATAATAATAAAAAAGAAACTTACGGGGACCAGCAGTTGGCGTAATGGCTATGTCGCTGGACTCCCATGGACTTCAAGTCCCGGACCCGGTGGTTTAAATTCACGCTGGGCACGTGTATGTGTGTGCTCAAGATTCCAAGAGGAGAATCGAGGAGAAGGGATTGTGGTGTGGCCATCCCTCCTGGGGGGGAAGGGGTGATTTCTCACCTTCTGTCTGTCTCTCTCTTTCTGGTAAGTGTGCACACCATAAAGCAAAAACCTCTCAGAAAAAAGAAAACAAAAAAACAACTTATGAAATAGTCCAGCCCCATAGCAGTGATTTAGTACTATGCACTGGAGGTCAGATACTATATGATTATCCAGTCTGAACTTCAGCCCTGATGACCTGAAAAACATGCCAAGCACAAGTGCATATGTGCCCCAAATCCCAATAGGATGAAGAAATGGAGATGCGATTGCGGTGTGACCAACCTTCTCTAGGGGATGCTGTCTCTTTCTCTCTCTCTCTCTCTCTCTCTGGTGAGTACACATGCCCTCTGGCAAATAAAAACTAAAACTAAGAAAACAAGCAAGCAAGCAAAAAATAAATGAATGAATGAATCTCAAAAGTAACACAACTGTCTCATCCCAACCAGGGTTCAAGTCCCAGCCCCACAGGCTTCAAAAACACGCCAGACGAGTGGCCCATGATCACGAATGGATGGAGAATTGGAGAAGAAAGGACTACACTGTGACTGGACCCACTAAGAAGTACTTTGCCCCCGTTCCAAGTTTCGTGTCCACACAGGTACCTCTGGCATTAAAAAACAAAAACAAAACCAAAACTAACTCTTGGGCCAGCTGGTTCTGAAGTGTTTAAGGTGGCAGCATCCTATATGGTCAACAGTGCAACTTGAAAAAGCACATGGGCACATGTGCGTTTGTGCCCAAAATCCCAAAGGAGGGAGAAACAAAGAAGGGACTGAAGGGTGACCATCACCCCTCCTTGGGTGGACTGCTTACTCACATCTCACCTGGCCCCACACCTCTGAGGGCTTGCAATCTCTGGCAATGTTTTTTTAAAAGGCTCCTTACATACAAGGGGATCCTCAGTAAGATGTCTTCCTTCCTTCCTTGCTTCTTCTCCCCCCCACCCCCCGCTTTCTTTCTTTCTTTCTTCAGTTTTTGCAATAGGGCATGTGCGCTCACCAGAGAGAGACAGAGAGAAAAGGAAAATAAGTAATCACTGTGGGAGATACACCGCAGTCCCTTCTCCAATTTCCTCTCAGGATTTTGGGCATGTACACATGATCGAATGTCATTTTCAAGCCACCAGGTCTAGGACTCTTAACTGCAGAGATGGCCATGTGGGATTCAGCCATCTTAACCTCCATGCCATCTGCTGGACCCCTTAGTAAGAAACCACAGAAGCCAAAAGACAATGGAATAACATATTCAAAGTTCTGAAAGAAAGTCAACCAAAATTCAATACCCAGCAAAATTATCATTAAAATATAAAATACCTCAGATAAACAGAAACAGATAATTTGTTTGCAGATCTGTCCTATAATAAATACTAAGAGGGTCCATCAGGCTGAACCAAGAGGATATACATAGTACATTGAATCCACATGGATATGTAAAGAACCTTGGTCAATAGCTAATAAACAAGTATAAATTTTTTTTTGGAGAGGTTTTTGCTATAGAGCGTGTGCACTTGCCAGACAGAGAGAGACAGAGAAATCACCCCCCAGGGGGGATGGCCACACCACAATCCTTTCTCCTCCATCTTCCTCTCGGAATCTTGGGCACACACGCACACGCACCCGGCGTGAATTTAAGCCACCGGGTCCAGGACTCGAACCACGGTCGACCACGTGGGAGTCCAGTGACACAGTCATTATATGAACTGTTGGTCCCAACAAGTATAATTTTTTTGAAAACTCTTTCCTTCCCCTGATATTTAAAAGATAAGTCTAGGGAACCAGCAGTTAGCATAATGGCTATGTGGCTGGACTCCCATGTAGTCGACCGCGGTTCGTGTCCCGGACCCGGTGGCTTAAAACTCACGCCGGGCGCGCGTGCGTGCGTGCCCAAGATCCCGAGAGGAGAATGGAGGAGAAGGGATTGCGGCGTGACCATCCCCGCTGGGGGGTGATTTCTCGCTTTCTGTCTCTATGTCTCTCTCTGTCTGTCTAGAGAGCGCACGCGCCCTACAGTGAAAATCTCTCCAAAAAAAAAAAAAAAAGATAAGTCTATAATGAACCATAATGCGCAATGGCAAAAAAGAGGGAAGTGAAATCAGGGTGATCCAGAAGCAAAGTTTCTGTATAGTATCAATTACTAATTCAACATTAATTCAAACTTCATTGTTAACAACAAAATGCACATAATTCTCAAATGCACAGGTGCATTTCCTAGACTAGAACCTATTTCAACCCTTAATACAAGTTTCAATGAAATCCAAAGGACTGAAATCATACAGGGTACCTTCTCCGGGCACAATGAAATGAACAACAGAAGAAAAATTCACAATATGTGGAAATTAAACTACACGCTGCTAAATAACAAATTGGTCACAAGGGAAATTAGAACATATTTTGAGGTAAAAATAAAAAATGCAATGTACCAAAATTTATTAAATGTAATACCTACATTACATCACAAGGGAAATTAGAATATAGTTTGAGATGAAAAAAAAAAAAAAATTTACTGAATGTAATAGCTAGAAAAGTGTTTATAGGGGACGAGCAGGTGGCATGGCTCTTGGGGCACCAGACTCCTTCCTACGTGGCCAACAGCAGTTCGAGTCCTAGAACTGATGGCTTTCTTTCTCACTTTCCTTCTTTCTCTCTCTGGTGAGTATCTGTATCAAAATTTTAAAAAATGATAATAAAGAAGAGGGACCAGAAGTTAGCGTAATGGCTATGTTGCTGGACTCCCACGTAGTCAACCGCAGTTCGAGTCCCAGACCCGCTGGCTTAAACTCATGCCGGGCGCATGTGTGTGCATGCCCAAGATCCGGAGAGTAGAATGGAGGAGAAGGGATTGCGGTGTGGCCATACCCCCCTGGGGGGTGAATTCTCACTTTCTGTCTCTCTGTCTCTCTCTGTCTTTCTGGAGAGCGCACGTGCCCTAAAGCAAAAACAATGATAATGATAAATAAAATTAAATTAATAATTCTTTAAAAAAAGTTTATATAAAAATTTATAGCAGTGGGAACCAGCAGTTAGCGTAATGACTATGTCGCTGAACTCCCACGTAGTCGACCGCGGTTCGCGTCCTGGACCCGGTGGCTTAAAACTCAAGCCTGGAGCGTGTGCGTGCGTGCCCAAGATCCTGAGAGGAGAATGGAGGAGAAGGGACTGTGGCGTGACTATCCCCCCTGGGGGGTGATTTCTCGCTTTCTGTCTCTATGTCTCTCTCTGTCTTTCTGGCGAGCACACGCGCCCTATAGCAAAAACCTCTCCAAAAAAAAAAATTCATAGCAGTAAATGTTTATACTAAAAAAGAAGAGGGCCAACAGGTGGTGCGGAGGTTAAGACAGCTCAATCCTACATGACCGACTGCACGATTCAAGTCCCAGGCCTGATAGCTTGAAAAACACATGGGTGCATGTACATGTGTGCACAAAATCCCAAGAGAAGAATGAAGGCGACAGGACTGCAGAGTGGCCATTCCTACTGGGGGTGATCTTTTACTTCTTTCTGTCCCCTCCTCACTGTGCTGGTAAGCACCTGTGCCCAATATAAAGAATTTAAAAAGAAAAAACCAAAGATTAAATTAGTGGAGCCAGCAGGTGGCACAGCAGTTAAGGCACTGAACTCCCATATGATCAAATATGGTTCAAGTGCTGGACTCAGGGGCTTGAAAATCATGCCAGATACATGTGCATGGGTGCCCAAAATCCCAGGGGCAGAATGGAGGAGAGGGGATTGCTGCTTGACCATCCACTCTGAAAGATACTTTCTTACTTCCCCTCTCACTGTCTCTGTCTCTTCTCTAGTGAGCATACACATCCTAAGGCAGAAATTTAAAAACTCAAAAAAAAAAAAAAAAAATCAGTAAACACCTATCTTGTTTTTAGAGAGATTTTTCCTGTAGGGTACACGCACTCAACAGAAAGACAGAAAGCGAGAAATCACCACCTGGGAGGATGGCCCTGCTGCAATCCCTTCTCCAGTCTCCTCTCAGGATTTTGGGCATGCACGCACACATTACCAGCGTGAGTCTGAAGGTGCCAGGTCCAAGACTCAAACTGCGGTTGACCTTGTGGGAATCCAGCCAGGAAACCATTACATCATCTGCTTGTCCCCAGTAACCACCTACCTTAAAAAGGTAGAAAAATACTTTAAAATGGCACAGGACTATCTAAAGCGTAGGAGTCTCAATTCACTAAGAAAAAGAATGTCTCAAGGAAAATAAGAAAAAAATGTTTGAACTGAATGAAACTATCAGAAATTAAAACTGTGATATGCAGGTAAACAGACTTAGAGAGACATTTAAAGCATTACTTAATATTATGTAGAAAGGGGGCTGGCAGGTGGCATGGTGATTAGAGGCATTGGATTCCCACATGGCCGACTGTGGTTCAAGTCCTAGACCTGGTGGCTTGCTTTCTCACTTTCTCTCTTTCTTTTTTCTTTGTCTCTCCCCACTCCCCTCTGGCCAAACTAAAATAAATACATAAATAAACAAGCATACATAATGTGATTCTTAAAAAAAATTCTTTAAAAAGATATAAGGAATGGTCTAGAGGCTGGCAGGTGGCATGGTGATTAAAGTCGCTGGACTCCCAGTGACTGACTGGCTGGCTGTGGTTTGAGTCCTGGACCTGGCAGCTTGCTCTCTCACTCCCCTCACCCCTCTCACTTTCTCTGGTCAAATTAAAAAATAATAATGAGGGGTGGAACCAGCAGTTAGCATAATGGCTGTCGCTGGACTCCCATGTAATCGACTGCAGTTCGAGTCCTGAACCCAGTGGCTTAAACTCATGCTGGGCGCGCCTGTGTGTGTGCCGAAGATACCGAGAGGAGAATAAAGGAGAAAGGATTGCTGCGTGGCTACCTCCCCAGGGAGTGATTTCTCGGTTTCTGTCTCTCTGTCTGTCTCTCTGTCTGTCTTTATGGCTAGCTCCAAAAAAATAAAATAAAGTAATAATGAGGGCCAGCAGGTGGTGTGGTGGTTGAAGACGCTGGACTCCTATACGGCCGAGTGGAGCGGGAGTCCTGGACTTGGTGGCTTGCTTTCTCACTTTCCCTCTCTCCCTCCTTCTCTTGCTCTGTCCCTCTCTGTTCAAAATAAAATAAACAAACAAACAAACAAACAAATAAATAAATAAATTTAAATAAAATAATTCTTAAAAATAACGAATAAAGTTGAATAAAATAACCATTTAAAGAAAAAAAAGAATGGAATTAAATCTGTATTTTAAGCTTCCACTTTCAGAACTAGAAAAAGAACAAAATTCAAAGCAAGAAGGAATAGCAGAAATCATTAAAATTGAACACAGGAAAATATAGACATAAAATATAGTCAAAACCTGCTTCTACAGGAAAAAAAACTGACGAACCTCTAACTATATCTTCTACCAATATATATCAAGTACAGAAGAAGGGATATTTCAGTACTGAAGCTACAAACTACACATTACCAAAAATAATTTTACACACATTATTTCCACACCAGTGCCTTGAAAGAAAATTAGTAAAACTCAAGACCAAAAACATAACCTCAACAAAAAACCAATTTGTAAAAAAAGAAAAATTTGAGATTTTTGCAACAGGGCACGCACATACAGTTGTTGTAGAGACAGAAAGTGAGAATCATCGCTCAGGGGGATGACCATGCTGCCATCCCCTCTCCTCCATTCTCCACCTCGGGTTTTGGACACGTATACACACACATCTGGCATGAGTTTTAAGCCACCAGGTCTGTGACTTGAAATGCAGTTGACTACATGGGAGTCTAGCAACATAACCATTAGACAATCTGCTGGTCTTACGTTTATAAAATCTTTAAAAAAAAAAAAAAAAAGACAGTATTAAAATATTGTGGTGTGGTGGTTAAGGCACTGGACTCCCACATGGCCAAGGTGGTTCAAGTCTCAGACCTAGCAACTTGAAACTCATGCTGGGCACGTGTGTGTGCATGCCAAAAAGAATAGAGAAGGTACTGCGGTTGTGGCCATCGTAACCTGAAGGATGATTTCTCACTTTCCATCTCTTCATTTCTCTCTGTCTCTCCAGTGAACACACACACCCTACAGCAAAAACCTCTCCAAGAAAAAAAAAAAATTTTCTGATTCACTTTATGATACTAGAATTATTCATGTGGAAGCCAAGAGTGACAGCAAAAAGAAAATGACTGAGCAACATTCCTAATGACTATAAATCCAAAAATTTGTAAATAAATTTATGCAAATTGACTCAAACCACATATGCAAATTAGAATATACTATAAGCCAGTAAAGTTTATCTTGGAATGCAAAATTAGTTTTCTGAACATTGGAAAAACCAGTATCATTCACAGGTTCAATAAAAAGAACCACCTGGGGGGTCAGTAGGTGGCGTGGTGGTTTAAGGTGCTAGACTCCCTCATGGTTGACAACTGTTCAAGTCCTGGACCCAGGGTCTTGAAAATCACACCAGGCAGGTACGTATATACACCCAAAATCTCAATAGGACAGTGGAGGAGAAGGAATCATGGTGTGGCCATGGGATGATTTCTCATTTTCCTTCTGTTTCTCTCTTTCTCTCTCCTGTAAGAGAACATGCCCTATGGCAAAAATGTAAAAAAAAAAACCAAGAACCACACGATCATCACATAAAAAGATTCAAAGTTTTTATGACAAAATTCAACATTCATTTAAAGTAAAAACTCTTGGTACCAGCAGATGGTGTGGCAGTTACATTGCTGGTCCCCCACGTAGTTGACCGTGGTTCGAGTCCCAGACCCAGGGGCTTAAAACTCATGCCAGGTGCATGTGAGTGGGTGCCGAAAAGCCTGAGAGGAGAAGGAGCTGTGGCGTGGCCATCCCCACCTGGGGGTGATTTCTCACTTCTGTCTCTCTGGCGAGCACATGCACCCTTACAGTAAAAATCTCTCTTAAAAAAATAAAGGGGACCAGCAGTTGGCATAATGGCTATGTCGCTAGACCGCCATGTAGTTGACTGCGGTTCGATTCCTGGGCCCAGTGGCTTAAACTCACGTCAGGTGCGTGTGCATGCATGCCCAAGATCCCGAGAGGAGAAGAGAGAAGAAGGGAATGCGGTATGGCCATCCCCCTCTGGTGAGTGCACACGCCCTATAGCAAAAACAAAGAAAGAAAGAAAGAGAGAGAGAGAGAGAGGGAGGGAGGAAGGGAAAAAGATAGATCGATCAATTTTAGGGAAACTGATAGTTTGTCTATTTAAGTGAGCACTGCCTCTCAGCTTATTTATTTCAACAGTATTTTAGAGTTTTCAGCTGATTTTACCGTATTTTATAGTTTTTGGCATACTATATAGAACAAACTTCTGTGTTCCTGGCCATGGCTGAATGCCAGAATCCTGATCCATCTGTTGGTCACAGCCATTATTACCACTTGGTAAGAACATTCTCAAGTTTACTGCATCAACAAAGGCAAAGGAACCAAACGGTAAAGAACGGATACACTCTTACTTGAGTTTCCTGAACTTTCTGAAGTTCTGACTGAAAGTCTTCCCCATTTCCATTGTCCTCATCAGTATCACTGCAAGTGCCACAAAAAAATGTAGGTGGGAGCTTTAATGTGTCTGCTTTCACCTTCTCTTCAACTGTTGGCTTCTTCTCCCAAACAATAACACATTCTTTCTCATTATCTGAAAAATCCATGTAAAAACAAAAAAAAAAAAAAAAAAAAAGTTAAAATTAAATGAAGCCCAATACATTGATCATCCTCAATGGCCCCCAGCAGCATCTACAGATCCAGAATGCTACAAGACCTCTGAATGCTAAAGGAGAATAAGAACCCTCAGGGAGACATTTTTCACCTAGTAGTATTTTTAAATTTTTAAAATTACCACGTATTACGTAAGTAAGGCTGAAAATTACAAAAGTGATCAGACTTATTTCTTTTAAATGGATTTATTTAAAACATTACAGTTAGGACTAGCAGATGCTGTATAATGGTTACACCACTGGACTCCTACATGGCCAACCATAGTTCGAGTCCTGGACCCGGAGGCCTGAAACCCACCAGGCATGTGTGTATGCATGTCTTAAATCCTAAGAGAAAAACGAAGGAGAAGGGAATGCGGCATGGTCATCCCCCTAGGGGGTAATTTTTCATGGACTCTCTGCCTCTCCAGTGAACACATGTGCCCTGCGGCAAATATATCTCAAAACAAAAAAAAAAAAAAAAAAGAGAGAGAGTCACTTAAACTTAACGTACCTGCTAGATTTTCTTCCACAGGCTTACGTTTCTCTGAGTCATCCAGATAAAGCTTTCCATTCAGTTTCTTGACAGCTGTTTCAAAATCTTCATCTAGAATTAATGATATTAAACTTAATACTTTCTAGTTGACTTTCAGGGGTTTTAGTAAAAATAAATAAATCAACAAATCTAGGGCTTATCTCCAACTTCACCCTTTCCTTCACTCTCCATATCCAAACAGCAGCTGATTTTGACTTTGCCAATTACCTCGTATCTCTCTGGCAATTAGAGCTTTAGGTCAGGATCTCCGTTTGTTTGAGCTACGCAGTGATCACTTTAGCTTATCTTCCAGCCTCTGTCCAATCCTCTGCACTACTGTCCAGCTGAGACATTTCTAAGCATGGGAGTGATCAGCTTAAAAACCCTGATCGACATTCTGTTATATAATCTGAATACCGTCTGTTCTATCGTGGAACACTGTCTCCTGTTCTCCTCCTCCCAAATGATGATTTACTTGTAGTTCCCTCGAAACACCTACCTGGCACATGTTGGCCTAATGAATGCAGTTTTTCTGATCATTATATCCACTGACTACTTACACACACAGTTAGAGTAAATATTTTCCTACTGTATCGATGATGAATTCTAAGGGCAGGCTTAAAATAATTAAATAATACTTCCAATTACTAAGATTAACCAGAACAGAGTGCTTTGAAAATCAACAAAGATTTACCATCCTCTTCTTCTTCACTGACATAGTCTGGTCTATTCTTATAGCAGAAAAAAGTGGGAGGAAGTTTCAGTTTAGTTGCAAGAGCTTTTTGCTCAGGAGTTGGGGTCAGCTCATATACAATGAGAACATCATCATCTGAGGAAGAATCTTCGGGTTTTTCCTTCTCTTTTGCTACAACATAAGTCAAAAAAAATTGATAAAGATAAAGCATTAAGTATTAATGTAAACATTCTAACCGAAAATAAAAACCATGGAGCTTTAAGTTAAAAATAGCCTATTGGGGGCTGGCAGGTGGCATGGTGGTTAAGGGCACTGGTCCCGGATGGCCAACTGTGGTTCAAATCCTGAACCCGTCGGCTTGCTCTCTCACTTTCTCTCACTCTGGCTCTCTCTGGTCAAATTAAAATAAATAAAGTTAAATAAAAGACCTTTAAGAAATAGCCTACTCATAAAACATATTTTTATGAAGACAGAGCTCTACAATAATCACGAATTAGAATTAGCACCTGATTTTGGTGTTTTATCAAAAACTCTTAGTGAAGGAACCAGCAGTTAGCATTATGGCTATGTTGCTGGACTCCCACATAGTTGACCACGGTTCGAGTCCCAGATTCAGTGGCTAAACTCACGCCCAGCACATGTGTGTGCGTGCCGAAGATCTCAAGAGGAAAATGGAGAAGGGACTGCGGCATGGCCATCCCCCCTGGGGCATGATTTCTCACTTTCTGTCTCTCGGTCTCTGTCTTTCTGGCAAGCACACACGCCCTATAGCAAAAACCTCTCCAAGAAAAAAACAAACAAACAAACAAACAAAACCTCTTGGTGAGTACAGACTATGTAAAACTACTTTTAAAATCTTGCTTTTACTTACTAGCAATTGAAAAGAAATACTAGACCTTTATATGATTTAAAAAGCTATCTTAAAAATGTTGTTGTAACCATTCCTGGCATAATAAACAATGGGTTAGTAAAATATCCACACATTTGTATCACCTGAAAAAAACTTACAGAAATCATAAGCAAAGATTAGTTTACATATGAAACTAACCCAAAGCCAATTTTGATTAGTTCCTATAAAAAAGGTTAACAACTGTCAACGATGAGAGGTGATTAGAGCTGCATTCAGTTTTGCTTATTCCAAAGGGTAATACCAGATAAAGTTAAGTAAAAACTATTACTGCTGGGTATGGAATACTATAAGACACAAAGATAATTCCTGTGGCTGAAAAACACCTTTCCTAGTGTCTGCAGGTGGCATGGTGGTTAAAGTGGCAGGACTCCCACATAGCTGGCTGCGGTTTGGGTCCAGACCTGGCAACTTGCTTTCTTACTTTCCTTCTCTGTTTTTCTCTGGTCAACTTCAAAAAAATAAAATGACAGTGAATAAAATGAAATTAAATAATTCTTTAAAAGAAAAATACTAGGACCAGCAAGTGGTGTGGTGGTTAAGGCACTGGATGCTCCCACATGGCTGACAATGGTTCAAATCCTGGACCTGGTGGCTTGCTTTCTCACCTTTTCTTTCTCTCTCTCTCTCTCTCTCTCTCTGTGTCTCTCTGGTCAAATTAAAAATGAATGAATGAATGAATGAAGTTAAATAAATAATTAAAAAAAAAAAAAAGAAAGAAAAAAAGAAAAATGCCCTCCCTAACCCCTGCTAATGAAAAGAGTGAAATATTTGGGGGAGAAAATCAATTCTATGTGCAATCTAGTTTGTTCTATAAAGCAGGATTTCTGGCTCAAGAAACTGATAAACAGTAACCATGAAGGACCCCGACTCATGGAAGGAAAGCATCCTCTGGAGTTATGCTGTCCAATATGGTAGGCTAGCCACACGTGGCTATTTAGTACCTGAAAGACAGGCAGTCTGAAATGAGACATGCTGCAAGTGCAAACATGCATACTAAATGCTCAACACCTGATATGAAACATTTTTTTAAAATGTAAAATGTCTTAAAACTTTTTATAGTGAAGGGAAATTAAGGGGCAGCCCAAGGCATAGTGCCTAAAGTAGCTGGAAACCATGTGGCCAACTGTGTGGTTCAAGTTCTAGATTCAGCAGTTTGAAAAAACATGCCAAGCGCACCACTTGTGCATGCCCAAGAAATGGAAGGGACTACGTGTGGTGTACCGTTCCTCATGGGTTTTCTCAATCTTCTCTCCCTCTCTGGCAGGTGCACGTGCCCTCTGGCAAAAATTAAAAAGGGAGGGGAAAAAAAAAAAGAATCTGCTTTCCAATATAGTATTTTTCTAAACCACAGTTGAAAGGGTCAACCTGAATAGACACTTTGTTCTATATTCTACACACATAGCTGCCATCATGTTGCAATATTGGCAGACATTAGTGGCTGAAGATAAAGGTTAGATAAAACATACTCTTGATTAAGCAAAGTTGAAAATAACAGAGCAACAAAGTACAACACAAACAAAAAACGTATGATAGTGAAAAACCTTGACATTAAGTAAAAATTTAAAAAAAAAAAACAGCTTTAAGAGGTGTTACACCATCAAATCAAAAGGTGTTCTGCTTAAACTGGCACTCTTTAACATGCATGCTGTAGTGTTAAGTGCTTGATTTTAGACAGCCACAGCTACTTTGCTACAGACTACCAGAAGCTAAAAACTGCTGTTATCTCCTGCTGAGAATGCTAGCTCTATACCTTTACTCTCGGGCTGTGAGGAAGGGGTGCTGGTCCAAAACGCCATTGGGTTACATTTAAAAAGGCTAAAATTAAATCCTAGAAAAACAGAGAGTATTTCTTTGTGAACACACTGGGGTTAAAAAATGAATGACTTTAAAAATGTAAAAAGCCAGAGTCCCTCAATTCATACTAATCTAGCTGTTCTTTGTATTCATTTATCCCAGTAATTTCATTCTTTGCTCATTTCATAAATGGTAGACAGACTCACATAAAATGTGAACATCTCAATACCATGTTCTTAGAATGACAAGCAAACAGTAAACGAAGCATGAACAAATACATGGGCCTGGAGCTTACGCTCACTGACTGGAGCACTTGACTGCACACTGTCCTAGTGCAGATACTGAGTTTCCATTCACTGTTAAGTGGCTACTCCAATTACTGATCTGTAAGGTAACAATACTCTCTGCTGTTGAGCAGTGAGCTTTTGGGTGGACCTGTACAGGTGAACTTGTTCAGGGATAAAGACAATCTGCTCAAAAGTCTTCTGAGTGGCCACGACCCCATTGTTAAGGAGCCAATTTTGAAAAAAACCTAAAAAGGGTAACCTAAAGAGTCTGCATCAAAATAAACACTGAAAGGAAAAAGGTTTTTTAAAATTGTGTTTAACTTTAAAGACTACACACTCACCTGTTTCAGGCATCTTAAATGTGTAATTAGTTGAGGATTCTTCCTTCGGAAAGGAAGTAAAGAGATTTTTTGCTTTGCCATCTGAAGATTGTTTGGAATCACAGTTCATGGACAGCTCACACTTGTTGGGTTCCGGTTTTCTTTCAGATCCACCTTGGACTACAGAACTAGTTTCACTATTGTTACTTTTCAAAGGTGCATTAAAACTGAAACCAAACAAAGACCCAGTGGCTGAACTGTTGCCAAACGCAAATGGTTTTGATTTTTCACTACTAAAAATGCTTTTAACAGACTCTGAACCAAATACAAACTTTGGAGGAGAAACCACTGCTTTTGTTGTCGTTTCGGATGTGCTGGACACTTCCCCGACTTCTGAAGCTACATCCGCCACATCATCACCTTGAATCAAATCTGTCCTCTCCCTTGTCGTTTCTTCTAACACTGCTACAGCAATTTTGCCACAGGGTGACTCTCTGGGAGTGCTCGAACGAGAAACATGAGGTGTTATCAAAGAATCTTTTTCTTGGGCTACTTTTGCTTCATCAAAAATTTTCTTAAATGCGTCTGCAACATCCTGCAGTTTAAAACGAACAGCTAAATGTTCGACTTTTCTTTCTCCATCTGCAAAATCGCAAGCAGTCCAAACCCACACTCTTTGCGTCCCCTTCATAT